CTTTGTCGATTTTTTCGTGGTGATTTTATCCGTTATTCACCGAGTATTATTTGGCACTTACTCTTCTCAGAGAAAGGACGATTTTGAATCAGTGGTGATGGAGCACCTACGTATGAATGGCGCTTACTGGGGATTGACTACTCTTGATATTTTAGGAAAGCTTGGTGCATGTGATCAAGATGAGGTTGTTTCATGGGTCATGCAGTGCCAACACAAATCTGGTTATATTCCTCTCGAATTTTATGATATTCAAAGTGGTTGATTATATATTTATAAGTGATAAAAAAAATGTGTGTTAACGGATGTCTACTCGCGAATGAATGAGTTCATACAAGTGATCTTTCATCTTCTTGTGTGAGATGAGCTGCTGATAAGGGTAATTGCGCCTCTGATTAATCTTTTTTTAACACCTTTTTTGTGGCTTCATTCATGCAGGAGGTTTTGGTGGAAATATAGGACATGACCCTCATGTATTGTATACACTTAGTGCTATTCAGGTCTTAGCCCTGTTTGACAAGATAGATATTCTTGATGTTGAGAAGGTTGCCAACTGTATCTTTCAATTTCGACTTTTACTTGAAGTAGGCATGCAATTGAACTTAAAGATATTAAATGACAAAAGAACCTAAAAGGCTATTTCAAAGTGTCGTATGAGTTTGCGGCTGTTAACAGTGTAATACGGGAGTTTCTCATTCTCGAACACCTGGATTTATTTGGATGACTGTTTAAGTTGGTTCTAGCAGTAAATATTTTCCTTTTTTTTTCCTGCATACCAAATAAAGAAAAAATGGTCTATTTGGTAAAAGAAAAACCTTAACTTAATTGCTAGATATTGCCAGCCTACAAAATGAAGATGGGTCCTTTAATGGTGACATATGGAGTGAAGTTGATACAAGGTATTCTTTTCCCCTACTACTCTCTATAAGTCCCTGCATAAAGCTAACTATTCATTTTATGTTATTAAGTTTTAGACGTGTATCATCATTTTCAATATTAAACTACGGTTAACTACTTTTCAGGTTTTCTTACACTGCTATATGCTCTCTTGCATTATTACATCGCTTGGACAAAATAAATGTGGAAAAAGCTGTAAACTACATTGTGAGTTGCAAGAATTTGGATGGTGGATTTGGATGCACTCCAGGAGCAGAATCTCATGCTGGACAAAGTATGTATTATGTCCTAATGCCATTCAGTTTCTAGTGGATTGTTTCTTATTTTCAATCAGCTACCACAATTAGATGGATGCAAACAATATTATTACACAGTACATCTTGTATGATAATGAAGTCCATAGCATCTTAAACGATTGACTTGACAAACTAACCAAAAAACGAAATATAAAAAATAATGTCATAAGCCACTTAGAAATGGTATAGCAAAAACTCGCAGATGAAACATCTCGTTTAGCAGACATTTTCAATTCGAGTCTCATCACGGTTGGTCTCGTGTAGGACCTAATGGGCAAGGAACTTTATTGCAGTTTTCTGTTGTGTGGGGGCCCTTGCTATCACTGGTGCGTTGCATCATGTTGATAAGGATCTCCTCGGGTGGTGGTTATGTGAACGACAAGTGAAATCGGGAGGTCTAAATGGGCGGCCCGAAAAGCTTCCTGATGTAGGTCACAGTTTATAGTTTAGTTTATGTATACACTGGCTTAAGAAATGCAAATATTTTTTTTTTTTTTTAAAAAGTCTTCAAGAGCACGCTTATGATTTACTACCCTTTACCAACTCCAGGTCTGCTATTCATGGTGGGTTCTTTCCAGTTTGATCATGATCGATAGAGTTCACTGGATTGACAAGGAAAAACTCGTTACGTTCATATTGGATTGTCAGGTTATTGAGCTTTTCAGATTAAATATTTTATTTTGTATTTGGAGGCACGGTTTCCAAAATTTCGGTTATCATCAAAGTTAAGAAATTTTGGGCCAATGTGTGGTTTAACGGTGCAGGATAAGGAGAACGGTGGAATTTCTGATAGGCCAGATGATGCAGT